AGAAGACCAATCTTGTAAAACCACTCCTAAATCATCTCAAGTCTCCTACAGGAAACGCCCAAAAGGTACTCACAATCCTCTTTTAATCCTCTTTATTTATCAGCAAAGCAAATTAAGAAGCAACATAAATTAGATTACAAGACACATATGACATAAAAAACAATGTTTTTTTTACTTGTCTAATGTACATTAGAGTAAGAAAGTGAAGAAACCGCTACCACCAGGAGTATTCTCTGTTCTCAGTTATGTTACAACAGATAAGAAAAGGTTTGTTTCAGCCTTTTTGATTCGCATCTATGTAAAAAAACAAAAACAAAACTGTGTTCTCTCGTTGGGTTCAATCAAGATGTCAATCAATGTCAGTAACAAAAACTTTTTAAAATGTTGTTGAATTAAAAAGAAGTTATTATGCCCTTAAATATAACCATAACAGGTGAATTAGAAAATGTGTTTTGTGGCATTTGTGGACACCTGACTATAACAATCATACTGTACAGTGGGGGAAACAAGTATTGAACGTGTCAACATTTTTTTTTCAGTAAATATATTTCCAATGAGGCTATTCATATGAAATTTTCACCAGACATCAGTATTAACTCAAGAAATCTGGAAATATAAAAAATTCACAACATTAAAGTCCATAAATAAAGTTATGTGTAATAAAGTGGAATGACACAGGGAAAAAAGTATTGAACACACTAAGAAAAAGCAGTTCTCCAAGGCAAAGTAAGGCAAGGTACCAGCTGAAATCCGTAAGCAATTATACCCCCTATATGTGCAAATTAATATCAGCTGGATAATTAAATTGGTGGTAAAAAGGCTTCTCATTACCAAGGTGTCACACAAGAAACATCTAATGCTGGGTAAAAGCAAAGAGTTCTCAAAAAATCTCCCAAATGATTTGAAATCTTCTGAATCCTCCAGTAAGTACCATTGGGGCCGTTATCCGCAAGTGGAAGCAACATCACTCAGTCATCAACTGGCCATGCACAGAAGCACCTCACAAGATGTCTGACCAGGGAGTCAGAAGAATAGTCACAAGAGAAGCCCAAGAGCCAAGGACCACTCGGAAAGAGCTCCAGAAACACTTGGAGGCAGCAGGTGCCATCATCACAGAGAAAACAATAGGCAATGCACTCCACTGCTCATGCTCACCTCGCAAGATTCCATTACTAAAAAAAATACATGTTGAAGCTCGTTTAAAGTTTGCTACAACTCATTTGGACAAGTCTATGAAATACTGGGAGAGTGTGGTGTGGTCAGACGAGAGCAAAATTTTATTTTTGGCTGTTGTACTGCACCCGATGTTTGGAAAAGAAATGGCACTGCACATCACCCTAAACAGTGAAGTGTGGAGGTGGAAGCATCATGGTGTGGGGCTGTTCTTCATCACTTGGTATTGACAGAATTCCTATAATTGAAGGAACGATGAATGGAGCCTTTTACCAGAGATACTTGAGAAGAATCTGCTGCCATCCACCATGATGATGAAGATGAGACGTGGGTGGACCTTCCAGCAGGACAACGATCCAAAGCATACAGCAAAGGAAACTCTCAATTGGTTTCAGAGAAAAAAAATCAAGTCTCATAGGAAATATGTTTAATGAAAAAAATGTTGGTGCGTTCAATACTAATTTCCCACACTGTGTTCTTGTTGAAAATACTGTTACAGATTTAGTCCCTGTTTGCTGTAATAATATGTTTCTGGGAAGGCTTTCCACTAGAGTTTGGGGCGTAACTGTTTGCATTTGTGATTATTATTCAGCCATAATAGCATGGCCAGGCACTGACAACATTTTGTAAAAGGCCCACATATAAGTGTGATGGTCAGGTGTTCACAACCTTTTGTCATATAATATCATTTAAAGTGAGACTTAGAATTTGACTCATTGTCTTTTTGTTTATCTTTTTATTTTTAGATCAGGTGGACAAATAGAAGATTTGGATGACTAAGACATTACAATCTATAATGATCGGTATAATCAGATTTTTTTGTTTTACCTTCAGATTTTATATAAACCTCATATGATGTAAATTTTACACTGTATGGATATATACAAAATGTATAGTCAAGATTAAGTTCAGAATGACCTACTCCTCTGTTAATAAAGCACATGCAGTATTTACTGAATTAACCATTAACCTTTCCCTATATATTATAGGTGCTTTTCTGTGTATTACCAAAAGTGACCACCAAGTGCCAGTAATTTTACAATATCTTGAATTCTGAAGCATGTGTATGGAACTGCATTTAATAGCCTCGACAGAGTCTCTATTTCTCAAAATTGGCATGAATAAATTTCCTCTGAAAACATCTGAAATTTGACAGACTGACTTTCATTATCCATTTTATCCTGGTCAGGCTCGCAGTGGGTGCAGAGTCTATTCCAGGAACATTGGGTTTGAGGAGGGATACACCCTGAATGGGATGTCAGTTCATTTGCAGGGCACATACACACACACATTCAACCCAAAATAGGAACCCTGGGGCTGTGAAGACCATGTCATGACAGGAGGTGAGGCAAAGCTACGACTCTCATCTAAAATCTGCTTTTTCAGATTATTACATTTCTCATCTTATGAGTAACACAGATAATCTCTAGTCAAAAGATTTCCCAAGCTTTAAACATCCCAAGGAGCACTGTGCAAGCGAGTAGTTGGTTAAAGTTTCATAAATCTGCATTTAAGTGTAAATGGAGAGTTTGTAGGCAGTGAGCCATGTCTTCTATATCTGGTGTCTGGGTGGTGGTGGTAAAACTTTATACCAGGAAAGCAGAGTTCAGCTTTAAAACCTTTACACAACTATTTCCCATGATGTCTGAGAAAGCAAAATCAAGTGAACACAAAGCATGACAGTTGCACATAATACAGAAGTGATACTCTTGTATAAGACAAAAAAAAACATCTGTAGCTACGCATATAAATACCATATAAAATATATAATTTTATAATAAATATAAAATCTTCTTAGATATAGGAATATACAGTATCTACATGTATTGAAATATATTCAGTTTTCATCTAGAGTAAAACTACGCATATGCATTTCTAAAAATGCATTCATTGTCCATACATGTCTTAACATCAGAGTTACAACGTATCAATTCTTTAGCACCGAATAATTCTCCACTCGGAGCGGTTTGTCACTGTGTAACTGAACGTCAGTAAAAGAAGATGGTGGTGTTGTAATTTTATATCTTCATTGAACGGAGGTGAAACCAATCAGACAGGATTTACAGGAAAATACATGTAAATTATATAATATATTATCATATAATCATATAATATAATATAACAAAACAGCATATAATAAGAATAGAAAGTACGTTTTTTTTTTTTTTAAAGACAAAAATAAGGTAAAATACCTACACAACGTTGCAACAGTTGTTTAAAGATTAACTGTTAAGTCCATCCTGGTAAACAGATCTCTTGGTGATGCACAAGTCTGTGCTGAATGTTCACGTTTTTATCAGATTTGATTTGTTTATTCTTCCTTCAAAGCACCACAAATACTTACTTACCCACCATCACATCAAAATCAGACCCATGATTACAGTTGTATAAACACTGGGTTGCATTATGCTCTTAGACAAATAAAGCATGCCATAGAAACCTCAAACAACTCCATTCATAAACAAGACACAACACATAAACTTTAATACAGTAAAATCACACACCAGCTGAAATACATCCTTTTTACAATTAAGCTTGTGACTCATCACTTGTTTTATAGTGAGTCCATCCCTCCCTCTCTTTTTTTTTTTTATATAATTTCCTTCTCTCTCTCTCTCTCTCTCTCTCTCTCTCACACACACACACACACACACACGCACACATGCACATGCACATGCACATGCACATGCGCACCCACACCCACACAAAGTGAAGTGTTTACTGGTTTTGGAGTTCACTGGTTTAGCAGCAGGGCAAAAAGGACTAGAAACTGGAAGCTCATTTCTGGCTCCTCACACAAGGTAAGACATATCATCTTTAACTGAGACTTTAGAAATGTAGAAAGAAAGGGTAGATGTGCCTGTGTTATCTTTGTTACACAGTGTGGAAATTGAGGTAGTTTAAAAAAACAAAACAATATCCATGCATTAATTACATTTACGGCCTTTTGCAGACGCCCCTTATCCAATTATTAAGCTAAAACCGGATTATATGCATACTGTATATGCAAAATGGCTCCTCAGTATTCCTAACTGTAAAAATGAAAATACATTTTTTTCTTTAATTAAATAAATAAAAACCTCCATATTTCTCAGTGTAATATTTACAGAAGAAGTTTCAACAGAAAGCGATGGGACAGATTTAGTCAGTGTGCCAAGACGTTCTTTTCCAGAATCAACATTACAATTTTGGAAAGACGTGCCCACTGTGTCTGACCAAAAAAATGCACAGAGGGAATGTCAGGCATTGTGCAATTGTACACTTCAAGGCAAAACACACATATGGTCTGGTTGCCATATGGACACTTTCTTGTGTTAAATAGAATTTTTTTTTTAAACATGCAATTAAATAATGTGTTCCTCCCTGCTTAAGAAAAGATAATTTTTTTTAAAAAAGGTCTCGAGATACCCTTCTTTATCACCTGAATTTTCATTAAATAGATATGTGCATGCATATCTTCAGTAACTTTAGGCATAATGATGATATCGAAGACTTTTATATAACAATAACAACAATTATTGTTGCTTTTTTGGGGGGTTAAAGACACAATACAGTTATTTGCAGTATGGCATTATAAAAAAAAATAATATCACTTTTACTGTCTCAATAATTAAAAGACTTGTGAGAATTATTATTGACAAAGGATTACGAATTAGGTCAGCTGGTAACAAAACCAGCAACAGCTGGATTTCAATTCCGGAAACCTTTTATTTTTTGATGTTATATATCTAATTATATCTAAAAATCTAAAAACTCTGAACAGTACAAACTGTTTATCTGGTAATACAATTCATTAAAAAAAAATTTTTAATAAATAATAATGTTTACGTACAGTGGCTTAGTGGTTAGAACGTTTGCCTCACACCTAAGGGGGTCGGGGGTTGGATTCCTGCCGGGGCCATGTGTGTGTGTGGAGTTTGCATGTTCTCCCCGTGCTGCGGGGGTTTCCTCCGGGTACTCTGGTTTCCTCCCCCAGTCCAAAGACATGCATGGTAGGATGATTGGCGTGTCTAAAGTGTCTGTAGTGTATGAATGGGTGTGTGAGTGTGCCTTACGATGGACTGGCACCCCGCCTTGTGCCCCATGTCCAATATTCAATTCAAATGGTAAGATGAACATATTTAACAGTATTAATGTTAAAATAGCTTAAACATACACACACACACACACACACACACACACACATACACATGTATATATATATATATATATATATATATATATATATAGATAGATAGATAGATAGATAGATAGATAGATAGATAGATAGATAGATAGATAGATAGATAGATAGTGAGAGAGAGAGAGAGAGAGAGAGAGAGAGAGAGAGAGAGAGAGAGAGAGAGTTGTATTTTTGTACAGTATGTGGTACTGAAAACACTTTTGGAAAGATGTTTTAAAAAATAAATAAATACATAAATACATATAAATAAAATTTATTTAAAACATTTTTTGCAGCAGTCTACGATTTGTACAGTTTTATAAGGAAATTTATACATTTTTCTCAGCATTTTGGAAAACCAGTTCTTCTGGATACTCAATGTTTTATTTCTTTTTTTTTGCATATAAAATGTTTTGTTTTGTTTTTATCTGAAAGGTGGTCTATTAATTAACTGATGCAAATATAATTCTGTAACATTTAAATTTTGTTGGAAAAGTAATATCTGGACATATATATTTTTACTGAACAATAAATGTAGAAGCCATCAAATAAACATCTATAACAAAATTTGTCCTAAAAAAAAAATTGGGTGCCTAAGACTTTTGTACAATACTGTAAATATAGTATATATATATAGTAAAAGTAATAATATTATTTGTTTTGCAGAAACCTTAACTTTAGAAACAATATGGATTCTCACAACGAGACGTATGACTATGACAATCATAACGACAGCGACTACAACTACAATGACTACGAAACCATTTGTGAAAAAGATGACGTTCGATCTTTTGCTAAAGTCTTCCTACCAGTTGTGTATGGGTTATCTCTAATAGTGGGACTAACAGGAAATTCTCTGGTACTGGCTGTGTATGCGTATTCCAACCGCTTGAAGACGCTGATGGACACATTTGTGGTGCACCTGGCCGTGGCCGACCTCCTACTCCTTCTGACCCTACCTTTCTGGGCTGCTTCTGCCGTTCAGGGCTGGGAGTTAGGAGAGGTTCTCTGCAAGATTGTCACAGCCTTATACACCATCAACTTCACATGCAGCATGTTACTCCTGGCCTGCATCAGTCTGGACCGCTACTTTTCACTATTCCCACAACACAAAGAGCTTTTCCTGGGCCGCATCTTTAAGAGGAACTGCTCCGCCAAGCTCTGCCTGGTAGTATGGACTGTCAGTTGCTTTCTTGGAATCCCTGATTTGGTGCTCTCGAAAGTTAAAGAGTTTCCTGGTAGGAAGGCCTGCATGGCCGTGTACCCTTCAAGCATGGCTATCCTGGTAAAGGTGAGCATGGAAGTGATCGAGGTGCTGCTGAGTTTCCTGGTGCCGTTACTGATGATTCTGTATTGCTATTTCCATGTGGTACGGAAGTTATTGGAGCTTCCACTGGAGAACCGAGGGAAAAGGTGGACAACAATTCGTGTGTTGCTGGCAGTGGTTGGAGTTTTTGTGCTTACACAGTTTCCCTACAATGTTATGAAGTTCTGCCGAGTCCTGGATGTGATTCACACACTAATAAGGCACTGTGGGACGAGCAAAGCACTGGACCATGCAACCCAGATAACCGAGAGTCTGGCTTTAATCCACTGTTGCCTGAACCCTGTGCTTTACGTCTTTATCGGCTCATCGTTTAGAATTCGCGTGCTAAGGTTTGCCAAAGCCTTTAGCCAGAGGAGGAGACTGGCACAAAGGAGAGAGGAGCATGGAGTAGAGATCTCCTTTAATTCACACTCACAATCTCCAAAGACAAGCACCTTCTCCATATGAGTATATTTAAGAGCTATATAGTAGAGGACATATGCAACATGAAGTTCATCTCTGTGTATCTATCTGTATTCTGTATTTAACAGCCTAACCATATCCAGGTATATCTGCATATCAATCTCCAGTCAGAGTTTCATTCCTACAGTGTGTACAGGACCAGAAAAACAGGTTGAGTGAACCGGAAATATATTGAAGTTGTTTTCTCTTTAACCGTAATGCCCTTTGTACTCAAGCAAAAGTCGAATGTAAAAGACAGCCAAGCCCCAACAGTCAGAGATGTGCTTTGAGAATATGTGCAAAATCAGTTTATACTTTCTTTTCTCTCTCTCTCTCTCTCTCTCTCTAAGGAAATTATTCTGATGTAAATATTTTAAACAAACTGAACAAAGAAAGAACTGAACCAGAACTGAACAAGTATTATCTCATATTGCTCACCACCCAGCCACGGTTGTGAGGGAACACAACACTGAATATACAAAACACATTACAGACATATGCTACACATTATGAAGATTTTCAACTCTTCTCCTTCTTCAATATTTAATATCTTCTTCTGACAACATGTGGAGTTCACACTCTGAACTATAAGTAAGGTAAAACACTAGGTGGGGGTGCTTGGTGAGGGCAGTGCGGAGCGCCTCCCCGACAGATCCCAGGCAGGCAGCACTCCTCACCACGCACCCATGCCAATCTGGGAACCATCAGTCGCAGGGAACTGCTGGTCCCTGCTTGGGACCAACTCCCCTTTAATAAATAAATAAATAAATAAATAAATATACTTGGTGGGTAAAACCTGACTCCTACCAACACTCAATCTATCAGGTAGGTATTCAACTTGACTATTTGTCTTATTCAATATTCCTACCGTGTAAATCAACAACATCTAATTAAGCAGCGTACATAGACAGGTTTGGGTCATGTAGATGTTGCAAAAAAATAAATAAATAAATGCCACAGTGCTTCTCAGTGACCAAGATTATTTACACACTGACCAGCCTTTCATTGGATTACTGTGCCTTCTTTTCATGCTTATATAAATAAACTATACAATCAAATGTTGTATCGTTTCTAGCTGTTGTATAGTTTACCTCCCCCTAAAAAAAGGTACATATATCCTAAAAAGAAAACCCAACATCATTATCAAAATTCATACTATTTGGTTATAGGTGTAATACAAGAGCATTATCTTTCCTCCTTCTGTTGCTGAAGAACGGTCTGTGGGTTCATGCACAATGCACGAATAACCAGTGATATATCAGGATTTGGTAGACATCTGAATTTCATTGAGTAATGTTCTGGACAAGCAGGGACATATTAGTGACTTAACATAATTCCTTGGGAATTGGGAACGCCTAGACTGGTTTGGAGCCTTTGTTAGGGGAAAAGGAAGTCAATCTGTCTTTAAAGATACATTTCATGACATTGTTTTATTTGATTTCCTTTGTAAATTTTTGTTTAAAAAAAAAAAAAGTTAAAAATAATAATCAAAATATAAATATGGAATTTGGAACATGCCCTCTGTCATGAATTAATTTTATTACAAAGTTGCTATCTTTCTAGGAAATGTATTGTGATATGCCAGGATAAATTTGGAGGTATAATGGATCCAGTGTAATTGATGACGGTACGTGGTGTATAACTAAGTAGAACAGGCCCTCATATAAGTAATCGATCAGTGGGAAATATAAATACGGCAAAAATGAAAACGTGCGGGGGGAACAAAACAACCCACACGCACTTCAAGAATCTAATCTGATGGTGCAGCAGTGCAAAGTTCAAACGAATGCTGGTGTACACTTCTCGTGTACAATGAGTCATGGGGTTATACACGATGGAACACGCTCTGCTGCTTACGTTTTCAGTTACTTCCTATTACCGGAACATGGGATGGGAGAAGCCATCACAGGGCAGCTTGCACCAGGGCTTACGTAGACTGTGGTCTAATAATACGCTCACTGGTCACTGCTGTGGGCAGCTTTAGCTGAGGCGGTGGAAAAAGCAATGAGTCAGATGGAAAGGAGAAACAGACAGACCGTAAAGAAAGCAGGCGAAATGCACTCTGTTAGTCTGGAAATATTTTGGACTATATGAAGCCAATTCTACAGTCATTTGTGCAAGACTATTCTAGGAAAAGTCTTTTTTTTATTTTAGTTAATTTAATAATAATCAGTGCTCTTCGTTTCAGAAGCGAGGATTTCAGCTAAACTACCAGCGTATCATCTTAAAAGAACTGGTATGTTCTTTAATTGGGAGACCCCCGGAACTTCCGGAAGAGCTGGGATGTCTGCCAGTCCTCCTACCAGGATGTTATTGAGTGGTTGTCACCTCACAGCTGTGTGGAACTTTTGTATATTATCTCAAAGTCAAAGTCAGTTTCTCATACTTCCTTGTGTTTTCTCTCACCTACCAAAAAATGCCCTTAGGCAGATTTGCTATGCTAAATTGCTTGGAGTGAACGAATGAATTTTTAGCAAGTCGTTTCATGTCTGGAAAATCTCGGGTTCTATAAACCAGTAAACCAGCAATCACGTGTAGACAGAAATAAACGATTATCTATTAAGTTCATCACTCAAAAGAAACTTATTTTCAGAAAAGAGAACCCTAATCGACAATGGTCCATTCCAGAGATGTGTGCTCTCCCCATTCTTCTGTTCTTCTCCTTGTACACTAACGACTCCCTCTGCAAGTACGCTTCTGTGAAACTTCTGCTAATGCTTGCCCATAAAACCATCATCAGCATCACCGCAGACGGTGATACATAAGTCTACATAGGCTGGAAGGTGAACCAATGGGAACCACCATCTCAAAGAACCTGAATGAGGAAGCCAATGACTACTGTATTGCCTAAAAGGCTCAGCAAGGGAAGTGCTTCCCGAGTCAGCAGAGGAAGTTTAACCAACCACAGGAGCTGAGTCTGACCTTGCAACCTTATTAACAGTCTTGTTTGGCACAGCAACCGTAAATGATC